GGAAAACTCACCTCACAATGACAAACTGCACTGAAACCTCCAACTGCTGACTCACGGAAAATCCCAAACTATCACAGTAAACAAACATCCAATTAACAATTGGAATACCATTCTTGACTAAGGATCGATACTTAGGGTAAATGTCCATTTTACCCTTTCCCTAATTGGGTCAAGGCCCAAGTCCAAATCTTTGATCTAAAAGGCCCAGATTACTTCAAGGCCCATACTTGGCCCAATTTTCCAAATTGGGCCCAATTCCTTATTGGGCCTTATCCTAAGGTCCAACTTTCCCATCATCCTAAAGACACTCATATCCAGAAGTCTAAAGAGGGCCCAAGCATTGAAGCCCAAAAGGTGGCCTAAAACCCGAAGCCCAAAGTCCGAAGTCCAAACACGAGGCGTACGCGGGGCGTAACCCTTCGGTATGCTGGGCGTACTCCACCTCGCATTGACCACCATCGGGGTGGTTGACTCAGTACGCGGGGCGTACATCGCCTTACGCGGGGTGTACCCTCGCAGGTCTTAAAATCCTTATAAGTGCTTAATGGATTAAGCACCTAAGCTCAAACTTCAGATCCATGACTCAAAAGTACTCCATCATCATAAAGTCTAAAACTTTAAGACTTTGGACGTTCAAAAAGTCCTTAATACATGGTCTTAATCCATTAAGACCTCCTACAAAGAACAAGGAACCAAACTAGCTAAAGGAACCTTATTTTTATATCTTAGGACCCATCCTAGGGTCTGAATGGACAGCCCAACACATCCAAAACAAAACATGCATATCAATGGGACTTTTGAGACAAGAATAACACCATAAAGCTACCAATATGAGATCTACACAAACCAAGCATAAAGGTGGTAACTTTTTACCTTCTGGAGCTTCTTAATGAAGTGATGATCCAAGATCTACTAGCTTGCTTCACTCTCCAACCACCTTGATGCAACTTCTTCTTCTTCAACCACACAAGAAACACACTCTTAGCTCAAACACACTCATTAGAGAAGTTAGGTTTGCCAAAAACGATTCCAGAACTTGGAGGCTGAAAAGATGGGGGGTAAAGGGTCCATAAATATGCTTAAATACTCCACAAACCCTAAAAATTAGGGTTTTCACCTGGACACACGTACGCCCAGCGTACATATGTGTATGCCCAGTATACTAGGGCGCGCCCTAGTACGCTTAGTGTACCCACATGTACGCCCAATGTACAACTCAAGCTCCCAAGAAATTACCAATTTGCCTCTAGGGCTTCCTAGGGTTAGTTCCAACTAATTTCAAGGACCAAAATGACATATTTAAATACCAAATAAAGGATTTGAAAATACCTGAAAGCTCAGGATGTTACAACATGATTATTATCCTACATCGTTTTTAGTTTTGTGTTGTGCTTGTGCCTCAGGTTGACTCATTCATTCTATTACATTTTGCTTATATTACCCACATTAGGACATTTTTGGGGTATTTTGAGCTTAGAATGTTAAGTTAACCCATAGAAGGGTATTTTAGACATTTGACACATTGTAATGATATTAGGTGATTTATTTGGGAAGTTTGGAGCTTGAAGTGTTATAGTTTAAGTGAAGAAGGAGCTTGGTATTGCAAGCTTTGGACTTAAGGTGAGTACAGTTACCTTGGAACCAAGGACATGTTTTGAGAAAATGGATTTATTTGTAAGGGGTTAGACTTATTCTTTTGTATTATGGGTCAATTGCCTTTTTTCTAGTTTTCATTGAAATTTACCGGGAGTACACATCCCTCATTATTGTTTTTGTGTTTTGAAACTATCTAACATATACTTGATTGCTAGTTGCCCATATGAGGATTGTTTGTGCATTCATGACGTGAAATTTTTAGAAATGTTTTTGGTTGATATAAAGCTAAAATGCTTATTTTGAGAGAAGAGATTTTGGCATCCTACTTATTGCATACATGCATATCATACTAGGATGGATGTGACTTTGTGGTCTCGGGTACCCAATGGACAGTTGTTTGTTATTTGTTTGTGAGTAGATTTCTAGATAATCCTCATGTGCATAGGTAGAGACTCGCTACCCCTAATGTGACCTAGGTTGGATGGATCATAGTGCCTTGTTTGTGGGTGTAAGGGCGAATCGACAATTTTGTCTGTCATGCGTTCTTCACACCCGACCATCATCATTTTGTTGTTCGATGTGAATGGAAAAGTTGACTGTTTGTCATGAGCACTTCATATCCGAAGATTGTTGTGAGTTGGACTTTTAAGATGGACTTGGGTTGGGATAGTTGCATGCATTGCACTATCCATTTGGATAGTTTCTTCATAAAATATATTTGGAAATGTATCAAGTTTTGCATACTTATTTATTGTTCAGAATCATTTCCAAGTGTTTTGCGACTCGTATGAGTATTATTTGATCTATATGATTGTGTTTGGATTTTGATATTTAAGAAGCTTTTACTTGAGATACATTTACCTTATATTGTTTATTCACTTGTGAAGTTTATATAATATTTGTCATAAATGATAATGTACTTTGACTGATGTAATATTTTACCCCAAGCTAACTTTTGATGTTGATTTTGTTGCTTTGAGAAGGTATGGGCTTGTCATTGGTGTATGGACCATATTGTTCATTCATATTGTGATCGTACTCACTAGGCACCCCATGGATTAAAACCTATTGTTGATAAAATTTTGCAGGTTAGCAGATATTGTCAGAAACTTAGGAGACTTATATAGAAGACCTTTGGGTTGTAATGTCTTCTTAAACCTTGGTTTTGATATATGTTGTGACACTCTCGCAAAAAATGTTTGTTTTTATTAAAACACTAAAGGGAAATCTCCAATAAAGTCTTAATATTTTAGGACAGTTTACGGTTTAAATTTTGTTTACAAAAAAGGACAGAATACCGGCTAAAACTTCGGAATGGCCCTCCGTGGCCGGTTTCGCAGATTTAGCCGGTATTCCGGCTTTTTTCGTTAATTCGTCAAAATATTAGGATTTTTTCGTTAATTTGGCTAAAACTTCAGAATAACCCTTTTATCAATATATTAAAAACGGTTTGTTTTTTCAATGTGTGTATTTTTTTCATTTCTTTTTGTACATCGTTATATATTCAGTTTTAAAGTCACAAAATATAGAAAAAAGTATGCATACAATCCAAAAAACTAACAAACTTCATAAATTTGTCTAAAAACCTTTATCGGAGATAGAGTGCTCTATGATTGCAGGATGAAGTTCATACAAAATTATTGTATATTTTCTTTTGGTTACAACATTGATCTAAGTACTGGGATAACCACAAAACATATGTAATAATACTAATTAGGTATACTTAAATCTATGGGATACCTTTCTCGTTAATACTCATTTTCTTCTTCATTATCTTGGTTGTTTAAAACCTTAATCAATCTACCCTCTTTATTCCTTTGTTTCTTTCTATCTATTGCAGAATTGGGAAGGATGCGATAAGGGATACATACACACACCCCTCAGATAGATCTTTGTCTTTCCTTTTTATGTGCGCACACACGCATAAAAGTTTCTGATGTGGAACGTGTGTGTGTGTGTGTGTGAAATGAGGGTATCAAAGTTCAAGCGAATATGTGTTTTGTGGTCTAGCCAAGACAAAGACTAGCTGCTACCAAGATGTTGCTATTGTCATTGGTAAATTGAGATACAAGTTTAATATGAGCGTCAAATTGAGATACAAGTTTAATATGAGCGTGTTGAAGTGCATGATTCAACAGAAAATGAGTATTAACGAGAAAGGTTGTCCCATAGATTTAAGTATACTTGATTAATATTATTACATATGTTTTGTGGTTATCCCAATACTTAGACTAATCTTGAAATCAAAAGAAAATATACAATAATTTTTGTATGAATTTCATTTTGCAATCATGGAGCACTATATCTTCCGGTAAAGCTTTTCAGATAAGTTTATGAACTTTTTTAGTATTTTGCTTTGTATCGATAATTTTTCTAAATTTCGTGACTTTAAAACTAAATATATAACATTATATAAAAAGAAATGAAAAAAATACACTCATTGAAAAACAAACCATTTTTAATATATTGATAAAATGGTTATTCCGAAGTTTTAGCCGAATTAACGAAAAAATCCCAATATTTTGACTAATTAACGAAAAAAACCGAAATACTTGCTAAATCTGCAAAACCGGTCATGAAAGGTTATTTCGAAGTTTTAGCCGATATTCTGTTCTTTTTTGTAAACAAAATTTAATTTGGAATTAAACTGTAAACTGACCTAAAATATTGAAACTTTAGATTTCCAAACACTAAAGTTTTGAAAATTTTATTTGGAGCAGTTATCCACATATGAACTTTGTAAAAGATTTGATCTAAACTTTGAGGACCGTTTTCCTCAAACTAAAGTCTAAAATTAATTAAAAAAAGGATTTTATTAAAAACTATTTCAAATAGGCTCATGCAAGCCCCATGTATATATCGACGACTTGCCGGGATCTGGTAATAAATCTAACATTCAACAAAAATATAAGATAAATAAATGTTCAAGCCAAGAGGCACCACAAGAAGAACTTTTCATTGTTTTCCTTTTGAAACAATTTCGATACATTGACACTTCAACAAATGTCTTAATTTGTTTATTTACAACAATTTATATTTTTCAAAAATGTATATTAACTAATGCACTATCAAAATCCAATAAACCAATAAATTGATTAATCCATTTCTCTTTTTAGGTAAAGATATCAAGCACTAAATAATTATTTCAAGCAAAATAAAGCTAGTTATGAATGTCATTTTAATAGAAAAACAAAGATATCATGATTTGAACAAAAAAACACCCATCTTTACATTCATCCCACAATACCCAAATACGTTGTCGTTTATCTGTCTCTCCCCTCACTAGAAATGCAGTATCAATTATCACACATGAAAAGATACATTGAAAATTTAAAAAGAAAAAAAAAATGTAAAAGTATGATGATGAAAGAAAAAAAAAATACAAAATAGACATTATGTAAAAATCAGTAAGCAGGATAATAGTACCCGGATCCATTTACAGGTGGATACCCATAAGGTTGACCCGGAGCTCCATATCCACCATTGTTGAGTTTAGTCAAACTACCTTGACCTTGCATTCCTTCTCTAGCATACTGTTGCCACACCACCTGTTCTTGAACAAGCAACTGTTGCTTTTTCTCCATATCCGCCATTTGAACATAAGAAGGTGGAGGAACAGTTAGAGACGCTGCAAACGGGTCACCCGCGATTGTCTGAACCGACCCGTCAGGTGCCGGAAGTGCCAACACAGGTGTGGCGGTCTTCCCCGGCAACGCCACACTACTAGCACTGCCACCAGATAATCCGGCGGTGCTCACATGTTGTCTCACTATTCCTTGATCATACATTCCATTCAAAAGCAACGGGTCAAGTCCACCACCCATTGCCGCCTTCTGTTTCTCAAGATTACTAGCCGTCTCCACCAACGCAAGCTCCCAGTCGGCTTTTCCGGGATCCGCCGCCGGATTCTGCCACGCGGACGTCACCTCCACCTCGCCGGAGGACGACCCGAATGCTTCCCATTTCCCGGTGGTTGCCGTCGGTGCTCCGGCGAATAAAGCTAATGCGAATTTGTTCCCTTGGTCGTCGGCGGTTAACGTGTCTTCTCGTAAATCGACTAAATCTCCGGCGGGTTGTGGTGGTGGTGGCGGTTGCTCAGCCACCGGAGGTGGTGGCGGTGTGTAAGTTTCCGGTGCTGGTAATGCTTTGATTTCGTTCATGTTAACCGGTTCTTCTTTAATAACAATTTCGGGTTTCTTTTCGGGGCTTTTTGAAACATTTGCTCGATCTCTAACAAATTCTTCTAATGTTTCTAGTAATTTTGCTGTTATTCTTTGAACTTCTGGATAATCTGAAGATCTTGCAATACCCATGTCTTTACACCAATTGTAAAACCCTACAAGTTCATCAATCTGTTTAGCTGCACTAACATAAGCATCGAATGTTTTTACACAATCTTGATATTCCATATCAAAGAATCGATCAAGTAAAATGGCTAAAACTTCACATATATCTGCATAAAGTTTGAAGCTTTCTTGGATAACAGGGTACAAAGCAGCCAACACCATTCTACTGTTTCTTGCAAGACCCGTGGGTCGACATGACAGGATCCGATCCAATAGCCTCTGTAAATGACCCATTTTTCCAAAGATTCTTTCGGGTTCCATTTCTCTTAATGGGGTTATGGATTTTTTATCCCCCTCTCGAACATCTCCTGAAGATCTTGACCTTCTCATGTTTCCACCATATCCAGGGGATTCAAAGTCATTGTAACCACGTGATGGTGGGGAATTCCAGCGATCTTCTCTGAATTTGTCAGGTTGTTCGATGCCATTGTTTTTTTGTTTCCTTTCATAAGCAACTAAATCAAGCTTTTGATCGAGGTAAAACCCGTAAGTTCTTACAAAAGTGGAATGATCCCATGAATTTGAATGAGCTTCATCGCGAAAATCTGCCATGTTAAGCAACCGTGTTCCTTTTCTGGTTGCGTACATGATTTCCTGTTGAAAAACCATGTCACCATCGTTTAACAATCGATGGATGAGAACTAGACATTTGAGTGCTACAATCCAATCACGAGTCTTGCTTAATCGTTTTGATACTGAGTGAACACAGGCACTGACATAGCCACGTGAGAAGGATGTGAGCTGTATGATCTCTCGGATGTATTTTTCACTAGCTGGATCATCGTCGTGACTCGTGGCTTTGACTATGGCTACCTCTAGCTCTGGAGCCATATTGCTAGCTACTTTGGCTATTCCAATACTCGTTTGATCTTTCACAGCTCCCATGGCCTTCCGAAACGCCATTGTTCTTCTCTATTCTTCTGGTAAAACCCTAGAAAACCAAAAACGAATCGAGTGCATTAGTACATACGTACGAAGAGAAATCGCAAAAGTTTCATCGATTACAAAAGGTTAGATGAAAGTAATACTTAGTTTGATTCCATTGATATGATCGAATCTAGAAACAATTAAAATCGAAGAAATGGAAAATAATATTCGATAATCTAGATGCCATCGTTATTTGACATTTTTGCAGCTCCATAAATCATGAAAAGAATCATAAATACAGCTCGTTGAAGACACATAATTAATATAACAACTGATAATTTATCATCACGACATCAGGATCCATCATTAATTGATTTTCTACTTCGGAATAACGGAAGTCAAATTCAAATTAACCATTCATCAACACTCACCTACACGGTTCCATTACAAATTACTAAATAAATCCACCGAAAACTTCAGATTTCATTTCCAATTGAGATATCGTTTTAATAAAATTGAAATCAGTTGAATCGTACCTTTAAATATCTACAACAGATAAAAAGGAAAAATCGGTGGATGAGCAGATCCGTTGACTTTATAGACTATCCAGTCCACGTTTAGATCTGAAGTCGAAGAAGAAACTTATGGTGGCGCGTCTTCTCTTCGTCTAGCCGGAGATATCTCTCTCTCTCTCTCTCTCTCTCTGAAATTTCTGTAGAGAGAGAAGAGGAATGGAATAAGAGGTGGGGTTGTTGAATATGGACCGTTGGATGAATGAGAACTGGAGAGCAGAGGAAGCTTCTATGGTGTATGTATGAAGAATAAATGATATCAGCACATCGATTTATTTTCCTTTGAATCATGGAAAAACAAAACATTGTTTTCTCTTTAAATATATTTTATATCTATAAAATAATAAATAATCGTTCGAAATTATTGATAAAATTACATAGAATTGAAAAATAGGTTCAGCTGAGCGTAGATATGGGTTGCGAGAGCTATTGATTGTATGAGTCTGCATGTCCTCAGTCGCCCGTGTCACCACTTAGATGGTCTTGTTAAATTTAAATGACAGGATTGATGACATGAGCGGACATATTGTTGGTATTCAAAAGTCGTCACCCAATGAACCGGATGCCGACCCCAGTGAGGGGCTGGTGTTGGATGCTTAGCTCCTTAATCATGTGTTTAAGCTACCTATCACTAGTGTCAAAAGTATCTATCATAATTATCGTATGAATTTCTCTTAAGCTTTGGAAGCTGCCCTTTCCAAGGTGGTTACCCATCACGGGTCCGTTGAAGCGTGGGTTACATTGGTAATTCTTCCTAAGTGTATTCGTTGTTCAGGCCCAAGAATAGACAAGAAGGTAGGTCTGCGAACATGAAGTCCTAGCAACATCGTAATATCCTAAACGCATTAGCTACTTGGGGTACAGTAGTGTAACACCTAGTTTTAGTGATGTTCTAATTTCGTGACATTGGGACATAATTTGATCAAGTGAAGGTCTTGGGCTTCAAAGGATTAGATTTTAGACCCTTTCGGACGTTGATAATGTTGGATTAAGTGATTAAAGCCCTCGATTTATGTCTTGAAGCAAAAGGGTAAAATTAGAAAGGTGATATCTCGGGCTTCTTGCATGAATTAAGGATTTTTCTTCGATATGTTTTTAGTAAGAAGTAACTAGATAGAATTGTAGGGCTCGTCAAAACTATTTTGTGCATATAAAGAACGCCAAAAAACGGAATTGAAACGAAGAAGTTATGGTAGTTTGAAGTTGATCTGGAACTTGGGAATTTTGCCCTACGCTGGGCGTAGGTGCTGAAATCTGGATGCGAGTTTAATGACCTACGGTGGGCATAGGTTATGCTGCGCTGGGCGTAGCCGCTGCAAACCAAAACCCTAACCCTAAGGTTTTGAGCCATATTTAAGGGCTCTAACTTCTTGGGATCATTCCCATTGCTAACCTCCATCACCTCATATCGTTCCTTTGAAACCCTAGCCAATATTTGTGAGTTTTAGATCTTTTAGAGGGTTTTTGTGTGCTCTTTGAAGGGAGAAGGTATTTGTAGAACCAAGTGGGAAGCTTTAAGGTGTGTAGATCTTGGATTTGCAAGCCAACATCTATCCCTGAAAGGTATAAAGCTTTCCTCTTGATGCTAGTACATGTTAGATCTAGTATGGTTGTGAGTTTTATGCGTTTGTCCCTGTAATCTTGGTCCTTGTGAGTATGGGTTACTACATAGCATTTGAATGCCTCCTTCTGATGTTTTTTGAGGTTATAGAGTCATAAAAATGAGAGCTTGGGCACTCTCATCCATACATGCATGAGTTCTTGAGCAAAAAGTGACAATATGGACTTATAGATTGGTTTTGTGCTCTTCTTGGCCATGCAAAAGGGTAAAGTCAGAGACTTTATCCATTAAGACATTCATTTAGATCAGATCTGGGAGTTTGAGAGTTTGGCTTGCTATATTGAGAGCTTAATAGAACTTTTGGGAAACAAGGGCTCTACGCTGGGTGTAGGTTATGCTACGACGAGCGTAAACCGAGGTTTGACCGTTGACTTTTTGACCAGTTTGACTTTTGGTCAACCATGTTGGGACTTAGTATTGGAAGGGAAAATGGTCCTTTTCCCAAAGGATGTTTAATTATGAGCCTATACCTTTCGTGAGTTGGTTATTACCTTAATTGTTAATTAGTGTTTTATTATGTATATGTTTAGTAGGAAGATACTTGATATCGTAGACTCGAGTGGGTGATTTATCTTGTCTTCAAGGCTGAAATGAGTTTTCTCACTATACTTTGTAATGCAATATGTATCTTTGTATGTAGGATGTTGGTATGGTGTAGTTATCTGTTAGATTGGTAGATCTGTTATGATTACATGTTCTTGTTGGTTATTTTTTTATGTACATATGTCGACATAATGTGATTGGGTTGAGGCGGTCCTGCTTTGTGCTGAATGTCACACCCCCGACCGGCGGCGAAACGACGAGCTGTGCGAGGTTCAGATGTTGGATCATAGATAAGAAGTCACATTGAACTGTCACACCCCCAAACCAAGGATGGCGGAAACGTCCGGGGGTGGAGGACTTCATGTATAGTATCACAACAACGAGTATGATAGTGCCCAAAGTAAATACAACCATCATAAATATAATTGAAAAAGTTATACAATAGTATGTGTTTACATGTTTCCAATCAATTACACTTATGATGACAAAAATGAAATGTTTGACGATTTAACGTCCCATCCTCAAAAGCGGTTGATTTCCTATTTCACTGAATTCCTGAGAATACAAGTAGTTTGAAAAAGCGTCAACAATTAAGTTGGTGAGTTCATAAGAGTTTTATTTGAGAAAGAAGCCATTTTCCTTGTAAAAAGCGATAGAGTATGATTTCAGAAAATTCAATATTTTCTTTATTAAACGCTAAATGAACTCTCCTATGTTATGCACTAATGTACCCTAGAAAGACTTGTAGATTCCTTCTACAATCACCCAGTGTATATAAGTTATATAAAATTTAAGTTAAATAAACTGTCGAATATAATGGGTCTGCCCCAGGTCCACAACCAAACAAGGAACAGGAAGTAAGGCGGGCCCACCAATTCTAGGTCGATTGCGACTAGATTCTTATATAACTCTAGCATATACACTTAGCAATTATAGCTGAAGTCTAACAATTCTAGATGAAATGTAGTTTTGATAGAAATATGTTTCCAAGGAAAATCCAATATTTTCCTTATAAAAAGTCATGTAGTCTTAAACGTCAAGACAGAGAATATGTGTGTGTTTTGTACTTATAATGTTCATAATGGTAATATGTTTCCAAAGAAAATCCAATATTTTCCTTATAAAAAGTCATGTAGTCTTAAACGTCAAGACCGAGAATATACAAGTATTTTTCCATACTTAAAGTAATACATGCATGTTTAAATTGGCATAAACTCGTTTAATTTAGAAGTAAATCCCATTTTCAAAGTAAAATTTTTCCTGTAAACTTGAAAGATTGTTAACTCCCTATGTGAGTCGCTATAACCATACTACGACAGAATAACCTGCTGCGACGTTCTTCAGGCGTCAGAAACGAAATGACATTTGTCACCCCCGATCGGCCGATCGGGCTTATGCAAGCAGCATGGGTGTGGGTTGTCAATCCCAATATAGATCTATACACAATTATCACGCTCTCCCTACAAGAGACTCTGGTTATAACTAATTCAAGATTTTCTGTGGTACTTAAGAGTACCCCGAAGGAGAATGTCTCACAACTTACGTTAACTAGTTTACATATAGTTTTGAGTATAAAACCTCTTCCGTGGAGGAAGTGAAATCACCTTTATGAAAATACATTTGTGATATAAATTCATAAACTATTACTATTATAGTTTATCAAGTTGTATATGAAAAACCCATTTGTTTTGAGAGTAAAACCTTTTCCATGTAGTATGCTTTTATCGAAAATTCATAAACTATACTTAATGTAGTTTATTATATGTGTTCGAAATGAATGGAGGAAAAACCTTAACATGAATGACTAATTTCTGTTTATGATGATAAACTAACAAGAATGCATCCAAACATTGAGAAACTTATTGTTATGCACTTTGCTCAACATACTACAAAGTGTTGTTAATATGGTAAACTATGCAATTAGTTTTTATCCTTTCCGCACTGTTTTGAAATTATCATAGAAAAATCATACGAAGTCGAAAACTAACTCCGTAAACTCTGAGAGTTTAGAAAATGTGTCTAGTTTATTCATAATTTTTATTATGATTTTTAGAAGTCTCTATCTTATGTGAAAGTGTTCATAATCACAGACTGGTCAGAATTCGTTTCTGAAATGATAGACAGTTTTGTAAAAATCACCATAAATCGTAGAAAAATCATATGGAGATGTGCAAGTGGTTATTTTAAAGGTATAAACCTGAACTACTTGCATATTAAACAGTTTTGAA